CACTCTTTCCCTCCGCTCTGGGTTTTCTCTCTTTAGCCCCCACTCCCATCCCATCTGCTGTTCCTAAACTCAGGCGATTGCCATCAGTCCTCTACTTTCAACAAGCAGGAACTAGGGCTGCACGATTAATCGAATGCGATTGTCATGCGCATTTTGATAGTAATGCCGGTTCTGTAATCAGCAGGAAATCATCATCATGTGCTTTCAGATGGAGCAGAATTTACTACACATAGCCGTAGTTCACTGACAAGTTACGTAAAAAAATCGGAGACAATTTTATTGCGGGATTATGAAATCGAAGAAATCGTTTGCGATAATGACAGCTGTTTGCATAGCTTCTCAGTGCACTACGGCTGTGAAGTAAATGCTGCTCCATCTGAAAGCATGTGAAAATACCACATTTAATAACATATTTTTACTCCAAACTCACTTCATAACGTCAGTCGAGTGTTTGAAATAAATCCTTCTGTGAGATGATGTGGCTTCTTACACAGAATAAGGCAAGCAACATATTTCATAGTATTTAAGCAGTGATAAAGGCAGGGTAAGCAGATAAACATCAAATTTTCATTTTTGGGTGAACTATCCCTTTAAGCAGTGATAAAGGCATTGCATTATAAATATACTTTATTTTAATGAAAATTATAATAATAAGAACTCCGATAAACCGTATATTGCCGTAGTCGTGTGTTTATTAGTTACGTTGAATCAATGAAAGCAGTTGATTCTTCTGTTTATTCAGCTGCAGCGATAGGCATTTTCTGGGTTTCTTCTGCGAGGCGTATTTGGAGTTTCAGCGCGAGAGCGCCCTCTGGCCTTTGGATGGAGATTTACTGCTGATCACAGAACCGTGCTTCACTGAAAGATACGCATGACAATCGCAGCTTCTGTCGAATCGCGATCTCGATTCCATTTCGATTTATCGTGCAGCCCTAGCAGGAACCATCTTCCACTTCTTCAGAGATCAATCTCAGCCCATTACACAAGGCTAAAGTTTGACACTCCCTATAAACGCTCAATCAAAGCTGAATCAGGCAGCCAATGATCCAGTCAATACAAGCTCAAATCGATTCTTGAAATGCTCATCATCAGTAAATACAGTAACTGAACACTAAAAACTAATATGCATGGAAAAATCAGCTCTGCAATATTTTGTCTTTCTATATCCATCAACATACCCTCGTTCCCCCTCTCCCTCTCCCTCTCTCCTATTCCTATCCATTCATCCCTGCACGGGTCTATCAGATTGCAAAGGGGTCGGTCACATTTTAATTAAAAATCCTATATAAGGGTCCTATGTAATCCCTCCCTGGTTAAGAAGCTTGAAACACGAGTACAAAGGACTCAAACATAAATCTTTGCTTTATTCTGTCCTAAGGCTGTAATCAAATCCATCCTGTGAATGAACTTGTCAAGCAGGCTCATGCTCTACAAACAAATCTCAGACTTCATCCAAACACTGTTTTCACTAAACACACATTTACGCAACATGCCAACCCCAAACCATGGAGGTTATGTTTATGCATAAGAATAATGTTTGTTGATGAGTATAAAGTTGGTCCTACTGTCATGACAACCTGTTGCCATGCACCAGTGGTCTTTGTTTTAATGAGAGATGACAAAAAAACGTGTTCCTGCAGAGTATAATTGTGCTGCTTAATATAAAATGCACATGCATTTGTATATGCACTCCAATCACTGACACAAGAATATGTATTTTTTAGAGATGTACCGATTGCGATTTTCTTGGCCAATTCCGATTTCCGATTTTTTGTTAGTGTGATCTGCCGATACCGATTTTTGCCGATTCCAATTTTCTTTCTAAGAACTATAATTGACAGCATATACAAACAAAAATCTACTTTTCTTCAATGCAAAGTTTTATTTTCATTAAAAAAAACACAAGTAAAAAGTCAAATACAAATAAAAACAAATAAAAAAATTGCAAACAACAGCACAAATAAATGCAATAGAATAAAGAGAGCTATGAAACTACGCTCCACTAATATAGATCAGTGGTGGTGCGCGCTTTTGGTGCAAGCGTGAAACCTGCGGGAATGACTAAAATAATGCACAATACAAGCACTATTTAACCGGAGCGAATGAGACGTGTGTGAGAGCGAAGGGGTCGACGGAGAGAAGAGAGCGAGAATGCGCAGCTGACGTTAATACCTGTGCCGCTGGTAACAAAACGGATCGGCTCAGAATCGGAAAGAAATGAGACTGACCGACCGGTCACCGATCCGGGCCGATCATAAGGAAATCGGCCGATTCCGATCCCTGGCCGATCGATCGGTGCATCTCTAGTATTTTTATATAAAAACAGCCCATTTTTCAACACCTACCGAATCAGCCTCATAGTACATAAAGGGCTTATTGTCTGTGATTGATAGTGTGTTTCAGAGACGTCTTTAATGAGCAGTAAGACTCTGGCTGATGAGTCATCACAGCAGATGGCTGCTTTTGAGCAAGCAGATGGCCTGCTACATGTGGTCAATTGATCCACAGATCTCAATTATATCAGACGGCCACATACCTTCATCCTCTCAAAGGTACTGTGTATGAATGCTAGTTGCATTACATAATCTGGCCCTGCTTAAAGAGACAGCATGAAAAGTGGGTGTTTGATATATACAGTGATATTTAAATAGATATGTTGGTTGAATTGATCAAGCAGATGTCTGCACATGAGCTCAGGCACAGTATATAACTATATTGAGTATAGTTGTTGATATTAACGGCCACCGGTTAATTGGATTCAGAAACCTGTCATACAGAGAGTTTATTGCACATCAGCTACTGATAATTAAGATCTCTTATGATCAGGGGATTGAGGGTCTCAGTAATTAACATGCTGTACATTCCTCTGAGATTTCAGGCAAAACGTTTAAAAAACAAAGCTATACACTTAGCACATAAAACTTAGAACATATGATATAGCCTGTATAATCTGCCTTAAAGTTGTTGGTGTTATACAGTGTGACACAACTAAATACTGTATACAAACATAACATATTCACTGTTTTCAAAGAGTAGGATGTAAAACAGTTGAGAATATTCTATTTATATTTAAGACAAAAGCTTTTTCTCAGTGCCCATCAGTGTCACACATCTATGGCAATCCATTTATTGCTTTACTATTACAGGTGCATCTCAATAAATTAGAATGTCGTGGAAAAGTTCATTTATTTCAGTAATTCAACTCAAACTGTGAAACTCGTGTATTAAATAAATTCAATGCACACAGACTGACACAGACTCACATTTAACAAAAACCCACCAATTCACTATCTCAACAAATCAAGTACAGAAACAGGGTATCTGCAGGATTTTTTAAATCAAATCTAAGACTTTTTAAGAACTTTTTAAGACTTGCACAAATAAAATTACTACCATACAAGCAGGGTAGGGCAATATCTATGGTAACATATTAAACTGTAAAAGGAAAAAACGCATGATTTACAATTCAGATACAGGTTTTCACAAAAGATTTACAAAATAATAAACTTTACATTTCAGCCTTTAAATTTTAAGAAAAGGGACAAATCAAAAATATTAATTACATTGATTTAAACAATTATTATAATAATGTAATAACTTAAATATATAAATATATCTTAGTGCCTTAAATGTTTAGATTTTTTATAGTACATTAGCTTGAAATATAAAAATATTAGTCAATATTTGCATTGGTCTGAACAAAAAAAGCAAATAAAAAAATAAATGCAGTTTCCCGGTAACGACAGTACACAAAGCAGCGCAACAACTGACGTTGATATGTGCAGTGCTCATGTTTATTCAATATCACAGCCTTTTGAAGTTTAATCGTCACATAAATCTATATCGCAATTCTGGTCTTTCCGTCCCCAAATTTAAGACCTCTTGACATCATAATTAAGACTTTATTGCACCATAAAGACTTTTTATGGCCTTAAATTTGATACAACTAAATTTAAGACTTTTTAAGGACCCACAGAAACCCTGAGAAAGCAGTTGTAACTAATGAGAAATAAACTAGTAAGTAGTAATTATATAAATTAGTAGTTACTAGTAATATTTGGCATAGATACTTCTGTCTCATAAGCTGCGTTTACACTGGCACAAAAAAAAAATCAATTTTTTTTACTCATGTGACAGATCAAATATTGTTACACATATGTAAACATAAAAATCTGCACAAGATCGATTTTTTGCATCCTTCTGAGCCACTTCCCAATGTGGTTTTAAATCAGATACATATTCAATATCTGGACATCTAACCTATATATATCTAAATTCCATTGCAATTCCAAGCCATCACAAGGCCAGGGAGACTAGTGTCTAATAAATAGGATGGGGAAGTACTAGTGCTAGTAAAAGTAAAGCTAGAATAGACACTATAGCAACTATTGGGATAGTTAGCATCTAATGCATAAAACTGGCACCAGCAACAACTAAAACACATGCTAGTCATTTCTATCTTTGCCAAATTGCAAATATGCAGTTTGTTACTGGTTACAATGGAATAGTTACTTGCCACTACTGGGATGATGAATAGCAGCAAATCAAGTAGTATTTAGTCAACCTGAAATAGACTCTAGTCGCTTTATTATTTTTTACTAAAAACATGCACGTGCTAGTAACATATTAATCAGATACTATTAAGTGTTGAAATGGCTTGCCATAGGCACCTGTTCTCCGGCTCTGTCGCTTCGTGTTATGTAAAAGCATCGCATCATCCACTGCCATAATCTCTCCGACTACATCAATCCTGTGGCGATTTGTGATTTTAGTTTGAAGAAGAGCCAGACACAACACCGTATGCCATAACCCGCACTTGCTCTGATTACTTTAATATTACCGTAGACTTGAATAATTAACATATACGATATTTTATAGATGTGTCTGAGTAACAAACCAGGCACTCATGGTGGTTGAATCCTGGAGCATTTCTTGCGCTGGCTAATATAATTTCACCTGAATTTATTCAAACAGATACTGTATGTGAAGTATAAACTTACCTATCCAGCAAGTATGATCCCAAAATACACAGCCTCCACCCGCACTCCTCCCTGCGATATAATCCTCCCGATTAATTCCACAAAAATAAATATGCCTTTGTAGAATAGTGCGGGCAAACCAAACTCGGCGTGTGCGCTGTATTCGCTCGGACTGGTTGCCAACTACCATCCACAAACATTTATCTGTCGTGTGACAGATAGCGAGAACGTGCTCGCTACCGTTGACCGCTGGTTCAATCCATTCGCCGCACCGAGGGGTTTTCTGAAAACATGACACTGCACATTTACACTGCACTGGGATTAAACGACACCAAAAGAATATGACATAGTTTGCCTTTCAATACACGTCTATCACGTTTATACTATATTAATTAACATTTATAAAGCATTTCAGTCACTTACGCAAGTTGGAATAGTTGCTACGCGGCTTATCTATAATAGATTTTGCATTCTAAACAAACAACGTCACATCCTTCAGAATTCTTAATATTATTCTGTTCTTTTAACTTTTTTTTTATTATTATTACAAAATTAGTGTGTTTTATGAGGCTAATTCTTTCTTTTATATCACACCACCAGGTCTAGAACTCTTGTGTTCCTCATGGTTTCCAGGAGATGACTTCAATGGCAGTGGATGCAGCTCTCTGGATGATGGCTTTAGGGTGTGTGAGTCTGCTCTTCAGCAGAGGCACATGCTCCAGCAGCTGTGCCCGGGCCCTAGGAACCTCTGCCAGGACTGTAAGGGCACGGAGGGCATTGGCACACACCGCCGTATTCTCACTCCCCACCAGCTGCAGCAGAGGGGTGATGGCACCTGCGTTCAGTGATTCGGTTTTACCTGGAAACAGGAAGACAATGAGATCTGACCTAGTCTAATCTAATCTAAGGGTTTTCAAACTGGGGTCCAGGACTCCCAGAGGGCCACAAGGGAGTGCTAAGGGCTGAGGAAAGTTCAGAGAATAAATAGTAAAAAAAAAAAAATCTACAGATTCTGAGACTATTACTATCTTCTTACTGATCAGAAATTATAAAAAATATTTTATTCTGCAGTCAGCATTTCTCTTCAGGTTTATACATCTAAAATTACTTTAATGGTGAGTAAAAAAGATGTAAATGTAATGTTCTCCGGGTAATATTTTACTCATTTATAATATTTTTGTTTTTCACTGTAAAGTGTGGCGATATGAGTAACTCTGTAGCACAACATTTTAAACAACATCTGTGTGATATCTTTCTAGATGCACGTTTCCTAGAGGACCTAATCAAGTAATAGAAAAATATTGAATTAGAAATTTCTTTCATTTGGAAGCCACTTACATTATTAGAATCACACACCTGTTGAAGTTTCTTTTAAAACGATGATGGCCTTGATGCTGGCTGAAACATCGTTTAAAAAAAAAAATACAGTCAAGTTTATGTTTGTAGACCAGGGTTGTTATAGTTTTAAAAATTAACTTTAACCTAAACTTTAACTGAAATAAAATATAAAAATGCTACATTTATTTTATGTCAGCTAGTTGCCAAGGCAACATGTTATTTTAATTTAGTTCAATTTAATATGTTAAAATAACTAAAACTGAAATAAAAGAATAAAAACTATACAGACATATTAAAAAAAAACCTAATAAAAAGGAAAAAACAATAAAATTTAACTAAAACTTTACAAAAACAAAAAATATAAAAATAAAAACGAATTCAAAATATTAATAAAAACTATAATAGTATCTCATGATACTAAAATAACACTGTTGTAGAGTGAGTGTTGCCCATTTTTCTTCATTTTCTAATTAATACATTTTTTGAGTTCAATCTCATCTACAGTTCAGGCTGAGCACCTGATTTTTCAGATTTTGTTTTGGACTGTAAAAAGGGTCTTTATACTTGAAAATATATAGCTGCCTTTAGCGGGCCCCTTGCAAGGGGACCATCATATTTGGGGGACCATGGCATCGAAAAGTCTGAAAACCCCTGATCCGATGTATGTGCATATAACTAACATCAGCCTCATCTGGAGGTTTTAAAGGGGTAGTTCACCCAAAAATGAAAATTCTGTCATCATTTATTCACCCACATCATGACTCTGTATGACTTTCTTTCTTCTTCAGAACAGAAAAGAAAATGTTTGAAGAATGTTTGTCACCAAAACATCTACATTCATGTTCAACAAAATAAAAAACGTCATTTGAATTTGCATTTTTGGGTGAACGATCCCTTTAACATTTACATACAGCACTATAATAGATGTTGAAATGTTTCTAACTTCACCAACACATGCTTTTTGCCATGTTTCTAACTTGGCTCATAAATTACAAAAATGCACAGCTGAAACTTGATTTTGTGCTGACCCTTAGTGATGACAGCTGTGTTCATAATGGTCCCTGCAGCATTAGCAACAACTCCTTGGTCATCATCCGACAGCATCTTGACTAATATGGGCAGAAGATTCTCCTCACACACCTTCATCTTCCCATCTGCAGGCACACTAAGAGGGAACAGGAGATACAGTAAATGCATGCTTTTTATTTTAAAAGAGTCTCTGATCTCGTAACCCGAACTAGATTGTTGTGTACCATGTTGCCTACCTGATTCCCACTAACGCAGATGTGGCTGCCCGGCGGATGGCGGCGGAGGAGTGAGAGAGCTGATCTCTCAGAACAGGAACCGCATCACTCTCCAGCGCAGGCAGGGCGTCCACACTCACACAGCAGCTTAATGTGGAGAGAATTAAAGCACGGATCCTCTCTTCTTCATCGGAGACCTTCAGCAACAGTTTGGGCACCAGCCCCATAGACACCATAAACACTGCTCCTGTAGAGGACACGACAGAGGACTCGTCAAATGAAAAGCTTCTGAAATACAAATACTGTATAAGAAGCATAAGAAACAATAGTCACCTGAGGGAAATTCAGCGATCCTGTTGAGTGCCTGGTGCACGTTTTTTCGACAGGCATTCTCAGGGTCCTTAATCAGGTTTGCGAGGGGACTCACAATGTCAAATTTCAGAAAGGCATCTCTGTACGAACACATATATCAATACTGAATACTTATATATGGACAAAATGGCAAAAATGACTTGTGTTGCAAGTATTTCAATTGTTTCAAAATATCAGATCCATCCTTGTAAAACTAAATATTCAATTTTCAAAGTGTTGGCCACTCTAAAATGCTCCAAAATATTCTCTTCTGCTTATCAAAGGCTGCATTTATTTGATCAAAAAAGACAGTAAATCCAGTAATATTGCGAAATATTATTACAATTTACAATAACTGTCTTTAAATGTCATTTATACTGTATATGATGCACCGGACAACCGGACAAATTAGAGCCAGCATCTTCATTTAAACAGCATTCATGTATTCATATTGTCATTCTTTCTTGTCTCTAGCATAAAAAAGGAAATAAATATTGAAATACTGGTGGTCGATATTGGAATCAGCCCATTTGCTTGTAAAAGACGTGGCGGCGAGATCTGAATCAGCCATTAAAAATCAAGATCGGTGCGGTTATTTCTGTGATGCAAAGCTGAATTTTCAGCATCATTACTCCAGTCTTCAGTGTCACAATACAGAAATTCATCAATGAAAATGTTGTGTTCAAGACCTCTCTCACTTTTATGGGAAAAAGCACTTTTTTTTGGCTTCACCGAACATTCTAAAGAGGATGAAAGGCTGCTTTAAATTAATGTACTAATCATTTTGACCAAATTTCTCATTCATAAATGCAAATTTACTAATAAACCCCTCCCCATTTTTATGGTTTTGTTGACTGAAGTAAGGCTGTACATAGTCAGCATTAGAGATTATCAGGGAAAAAAAGGCTATTTAAAATAGCTATTAAAGCTAAAAAAGCTACAAATGCTTTAAACGTTTGTATACACAGTATTTATTTGATATTTTTATACCTGATTGTACCCTTATTATTATTATATTATTTCAGTTTTATTTTTATATGCATAATTGTTGAATATTTGCATTTGAATGAAAGGGCATGTATGTTAATGTTCACTCAATAAAAAAGCAAGAAAGATAATGTCATCAGGTATGTTCATTTTAATATGTTCATTTAAACTATTTGAATTAAATAAAACAATGCAAAGGTGGATCAAATACATATCGAATGAACAAGCTGCTGCTCCAAAAATATTACAATTCACATTGATCCATATTTCTCCTGTCCGCTCAATTTTCATTGTTTCTAATGGCTGTTGTGTGTCTAGTTTCTGTAGCCATATAATTTAATATGAAGGTCAATGAGTTGTCTGAGGAAGCCTCGGTTGGGAAAGACGCCTCTTCCATCTTTTACCTTCTGGACCGCCTCCACCAGCGTCATGTTGTGTTTCAGCATCAGATATGCCAAAACTATAGTGGCTGATCGACTCACTCCAACATGACAGTGAACCAGGATTTTGCCTTCGATAAGAAGATAGAGTTTAGTGACTCTCAGCTGCAAGCGACTGGATTAGTGGGACGCGCACTTACCTCCCCCTTTCAGCGCTGTATGTATAAATTCAGCAGCTTTGTTAAAGTTGGCACTCATGTCATACGTGGGTGAATCGTGTGCATCTATGCCCATGTATGTGATGCCCATGCCATCATAGATCTCGCCGCCACGTCTGGAGCTGTGGGCGCAGTTCAGGACATGAGTGAAGCGACGCCTTCTCATCTCTGCACAGTTTTCAGCTATATCCCTAAACAAAGAGAAAATGCATCACACAGCAGTATTATTGAACATACAGGTTATAAAATGTCAGCAGAACACTTGTTTTGCAGGCATTTCAGTTGCTTAGTAGATGCTCTGTTCCTGTTAGCAGAACTGACTGTTTATTTAAAACCTCTTAACTGTCACCGTCCCGTCAGCGGGACACCTAAGTTTACTTCATGACAAACTATATATCGTTGGGAAGGTCTAAGACTCCTAAATATATATTTTACCACTGTTTTTTTGTTTTGTTACAAATGTAGTATGTAGGAACAGTAATAGATTAATTTATGACAAGAGTGCACCTCAAAAAATCTACATCATAACAGGAGTTCTGACCTTTGTCACAAAAAGTCTTTTTCGTTGCCTTTTTCGCTTATCACATGTTTTAGTAATCATCATAAATTATCATTTGAAAGCTTAAAACCTCAAAATTCATCCTGTGTAAACCATTACAAAATATATTACGGTCTTTTAGAAACTTTTTATAATCCTGACAAAATACATATTGTTGGAAAGGTCTGAGTCTCAAGATTCCATATGGTTATTTTGTGATAGAAGTCATATTGAGAGAGAAATTTATACATTTGGGACAATAAAATGCAAAAAAAAAAAAGTTTGAGAGTCCCCCGGTGGCTTATTTTGGTATAACGCCTAAACAAAATCGTATAGGAACCTCAATTTTTTTATATATCAACTTCAAATTTGGAACACAACTTATTTAGACATATGGATTTAATTTTATAGCAATTTTGAATTAAAATAATTTGGTAAAAATAAGTTTTGTAAAAATTTTGTCAAATATTTATTTTATATAAAATAAAAAAATAGTATAGTATATTTTCTTTGCAGTAAATTTCAACTTCTATAACTTTTTTATACTTTCGTTTTTTTTAATGATTCTGCAATAATCTGCAGATTATCTTCTTTAAAAAGAGACCAACCTTAGGTCTGTATTCAAAAGCGTTCATTAATTATAACAATTTAAGTTTGTATAATGCACTTTCACGTCTATGTTCAAAAATGGGGGTGACAGTTAAGGGGTTAATAGCTTTGTTATTTTAAATAGCATTTTTTTAAGTGTTGGGTTAGTGCTGGGCGGTATGACCAAAAATAAACACCGGTATTCGGTATGAACCGGTATACCGCCCAGCACTATGTTGGGTACTCTGAAATATTCTTTTTGGTGGAAAAGGCTTATTAGCTTAGTGATTTATAGAGAAACAGCTCCCTCTTGTGTTCATGAATATGTACTACATTACGAACAGCAGCAACTCGTTGTGCAGATAACTACGTAAATTTACTAATACGCATTAAAAATAGGTTTTGTACAACAAAGGTGTAATTTTTACGCATATGTAAGCTATAAATAAGAATGAATTAGGAAAAGCTGCAGTGTGCTTACATGTTGCCGATGTACAGACCGGGCCAGACTTCATCCGCGTTAGTGTTGACGGCTCTTCCAGAGACTAGAAGACGTTCAGCCTCCATCACCGCTAAACCGGGAGAGGTGAAGTCAACCACCGGTTGAGTTGAACGTGAGGTACCGTCTGAATATTTAGACCTGTAAGACATTTTTAAGTTGTAAATGGGCATTTAGTGTCCACTGCTTTTGATAATACTAACCCCAGGAAGTTGTTTCGATTTATTTAAGTGCACGACACAATATCAGGTCGATACACGCCTGTTAAAGTTATTCAGTCTGCCAATTCATAGTCTGCATGAATAAAAGCCTTGTTTTGGAAGCCAGGGGTTATTTTTAGTCTCTTGGGCCTGCGTGTTCAAAGCAGATCAATTACACATGCAATGTAATAATATATACTATGATCTGCTCGATGATTTACAGACAGTTTGCTTTAATCTACAGTACGGCCTAATAATTTTGTTGATAATATAACATAAACAACAGGATGCAGGAAAGATATAACTGTAAATTTAACATGGACATGAATCAGTGAATTAGGATTGTTTCTAGCTTGTCAGTTGGGTATTGGCCACTGTAAAAATATATAATAAATATTATACTTTATTTCAGAAATATAAAGTAAAATTGTGAAAATTCTTATTGACTCACATTGTTAAACTGTTCACCCTTCAAAATTATGGCGTTATTATAATATTTGAATGTATATCACTCAGTTATGAATTCTGGATTGTTATTGGTCCTCTTACATACATTTATTTAAATGCTGAATTGTGATTGGTCTTCTTACTTGCATTATTTACATACTGCATTGTGATTGGTCTTCTTACTTACATTATTTACATACTGCATTGTGATTGGTCTTCTTACTTACATTATTTACATACTGCATTGTGATTGGCCTTCATACTTAAATTATTTACATACTGCATTGTGATTGGCCTTCATACTTACATTATTTACATACTGCATTGTGATTGGCCTTC